AACCTTAAAACAGAGAGAAGGCTGCTGGGTCCCTCGAAGTCTATATTGCATTACAAGGTCAATGACTTATCACATTAAATATGACATTAGGAATCATACATGAATTGATATACTACTTCAGGATTTCTTGCTGTGTACATTGACAACAGAGCAATATTACTTCTAAATAACCAATAGATAATAATAATATTACCATTACTTCAAGTACGATTTCTTAGTCCCTCTTATGTGAAACCGATATCGTGATATGGCTGAATATTACTGAACGTGGTTTGTTTGTTTGTTTGTTGTTTAACGCCACACTCTGCGATATTCCCGATATATGAAAGCGGTCTGTAAATAATCGAGTCTGGACCTGACAATCCAGTGATTGACATCGTGAACATCGATACACGCAAACGGGATCGATGACATGTATCAACCCGATCCCGTTGGTCTCCTCTTAGGACAAGAAAAGGCGCCTTTTACGGCAAGCATGGGTTGCTGAAGACCTATTCTACCCCGGATCTTCACGGGTCAAACGTGGTATGAACCAGATTCCCCCACACACGTATTACATTCTCTGTTTGCACGATCTACAACAATCTACGACAGTTTAAATTAAAAGGTATCCCTCTATTCCCTAGATGTCCATAAGTATCCGTGATAAATGAATGAATGTCTATATTTCCTCCAGATAGATCCGAAGATTCTCAAAATATCAAACTTATGTCATTAAATAATTAAATTATTATAACAAAATAATATATCTATATCTATAATGTCCCGCATATTTTGGCTATAAACTGTGAGAAATATTGGTAATATTACCACACGTTGTTAAGGCTATTTTTAATTTGATATTAATACTTTGAGAATTCTATAATAGTGAAATGCCACGTTATTTCATCAATGTCGTTGTTATCTGCATCAAGAAAGAATGCTGACATATCATGGTCTTCCATCATCTCTATTTTAACATACATTTCAACATCAAGATTATCAATCAGAGTGGAAAAGAATACATCTCTCTCTGAAAGTAAACAGTTTAAGATAACATGATGATAATAATCATTTGCATATGTCCATAAATATCCTTGATATGTCCAAATAAATATAATGAAACTTCGGCACTCTTCCTTTAGGGTAAAAGCTCAGTACTTCCTCTATTTTAATGTCAACACTGATGCATTGAATGTGCCACAGACCGGATGCCTTTAAGTATTATGAATGAATACATCTAGCCATCTTCCCGAGGCAAGAGAGTAACTGACTATTAATGTCCAGTTTCCACCCTTGCCGAACTAGGCTGGTATTACCTAGTACATTTTGGCTGGACAAACGAGTCTATGTCTAGTCCAATCAAAATCGCGCAACGACATCGAAATCCAGTTCGTAAACTGTCATGCAGATTTCGGTCGATTGCAGGATTTGCAAGGCATGTGCACCGTCAACTCGTTGTCAACATATATTTTCCAAATCGATTCCTGTTTTTAATCAAGTTGCTCACGTGATTTGATGCACTTCGAGTTTTATCACAATATAGATCTTGATTATCGAACAGATCGTCTTGACTGGGCGCCGCCATTTTGTTTGAAGCAAATGCAAGTGATACGAAGGGTGGAATCTGATTGGTCCATAGGAGAGGCCTAGAAGGGACTTAACTCGTAATAGTCTTCAGACGTCTAGCTGACACAAGATCTTTATAATTTTCGGAAAATTGTTCTCAAACAACTTTTCTGAGCAAAATTATGATGCATTGTCCATTACAATGTGCTGAAATTTATAAACCAGTATGGGATGGGTCTATAAATAGTTTTTATGCAATTAGCAGGGTCCTTATTTATTTTAAGAAATGCTCAACTTCGAGTAGTTATCAAATTACGAATCAGTAATTATAGCTGTTGAACATACAAAATAAGTGTGTGATTAACCCCACCTTGTTTAAATATATATTGAAAGAAAACATGGGCGGTAAGAATTTATGTCATTATCTTAAATTAGTTTGATAACACAGCAGGAAAGCATAGCTGCACGGATCTTGTTAACCCAGCAGTTTTTAAATACGAGCAGCATGTACATCAAGAGTATTGGTTTGATGCGTGTCTTATCACGCATTACTTCCAGAAAGTCTGCATATTTATCGGGTGACTAGTATGGTTAATGTCATCCCACTTTATGGTAAGGGGAAAATGTATGTAATTATATTGACTTATGATTTCGGCGAGTGCGACTCTTGCTCGGGGTTGTTTGGTAGGGTTTACATCATCCGGTGCCTTGGTGGGGCTTTCAAAAGGCTTTGTGTGTGGGCGACGGTATCAACCCGCTTGAGTAGCTATTACACAATTCAGGAATAGTCAGGAATGAGTGACTTTGCTAGTTAGACGATAAAATTGGAATACTGGTTTAATCATTTTAAGGGATTGTTTGACGATAGATCAGAAGAAAATGGCTCAGATGTTAATGATTTTCATAATTATTTCGAGTCAGTTTTGGAAAATACTGTTGAGAATGATATTACAAGGGATATCTTGGATTCACCAATTTCAGAAGATGAGATAAGAGTAAGCATTCGGCATCTTAAAAATAATAAATCTGCAGGAATAGATAACCTTATCCCGGAGTGTTTCAAATATTCTGAAGATTTATTAACGCCATACCTACTGGTAATTTTAAATTTAATGCTTGAAAAATCTTACTTTCCTAAATGTTGGGATGTTGGTATCATCATACCCCTATTCAAAAATGGTGACCCAAATATGACTGACAATTATCGAGGTATTACACTTCTTAGCATATTTAGTAAAGTTTTCTTGTATATCATCAATAAAAGACTAGTTTTTTGGTTCAACGCTACAGATATAATCAGCGAGGCACAAGCAGGATTTAGGGAAGGATACTCAACCACGGACAATATTTTTATTTTGTATAGTCTCATTCAGCGCTATATATCAAGCAAAGGGGGTAAATTTTACGTTTTATTTGTTGATTTCTCTAAAGCTTTTGATTCTGTGGATAGAAGTAAATTATGGATGTTATTTACCAAGCATGGCCTGAGCAGTAAAACTATTATGTAACATATATAAAAAATGTAAAAGCATGTGTAAGAAAGAATGGTGTAATGTCCACCGCTTTTGACTGCAGCACTGGTGTACGCCAGGGATGTATACTTAGCCCTTTTTTGTTTGTCTTCTTTATTAATGAACTAGCTGCAGCCGTTCATCAGAACTGTACAGATGGTATACAACTTCATCCAGACATTGTCAAACTTTTTCTTCTGTTATTTGCTGATGACATTATCATGTTTTCTAGTACGGTGAAAGGATTGCAGAAACAAATAGCAGAATTAGAAGGTCATTGTGCTAAGTTTAATTTGAAAATTAATACAAATAAGACAAAAATCGTTGTTTTCAAAAAAGGTGGCAAATTATCAAGGTCTGAAAAGTGGTTATTTAAAGGTCAGTGTTTAGAAGTAGTTAGGGGTTATAAATATTTAGGTGTGTATTTTTCCAATACGTTGGCATGGAATAAACATAATTAATAATGCTGCTGTACAGGGAAAGAATATGTTCAGTAGTTTAAAAAATGTTGGGGCTGTAAACTATAAAATATATTTCAAAATATTTGACACGAAAATTAAATCCATTCTTTTATATGGGGCAGAAATTTGGGGATTTACACAAATGGATGCTTTGGAAAAAGTTCATTTATATGCTTGTAAGAAATATTTAGGAGTTAAAATGAATACCACAAACGTGATGGTTTATGGTGAATGTGGACGAGTCCCTTTGTGTATAGAAGCACGTCTGAAAATAATAAAATATTGGATAAGACAACTAAATATGCCCTCATCAAGATTCCCTAAGAAATGTTACAGTGTGATGTGTTTGTATGATAGCAATGGCAAAACAAATTGGGTTACCGACTTAAGGAACCTGCTGAATAATTGTGGTTCTGGTTACATTTTTAAATTAGAACATATTGCTTATCCGAAGTTGTTCATAAATGCTATAACACAAAGATTATAAGATTTATATTTTCAGTCATTGAATGCAATTCTAACGCGTTCACCAAAGTCCCTGTTATATAGCAGTTTCAAGTCATATATCATTGCAGAGCAATGCCTTTTCAGTGTTAGTCTTAGAACATTTAGTGTAGCACTTGCAAGATTCCGATGTTTATCAAACGATCTTTAAATTGAAAAAGGTAGATATCAAAATATTCCGAGAGAAAATAGACTCTGTCCACTATGTGACCTAGGATTAATTGAGGACGAGTATCACTTTTTACTAGTATGCCCGCATTATGATGAACTAAGAAAAGTATATTTACCAAAATATTTCATGTAAACCATTGTACATTTAAGTTTAAACTATTAATGACCATTAGCAACATTGAAACCATAAGAAATCTTTCTATGTACATATATCATGCTTTTATACAAAGAAAATCAAGTTTGGAAATTATATGATTGTACCAATTGCTCCTGTAATCATGATTGTACTATAGGCCTCCTCAGTACGTTGAATAAAGAAATTGAATTGAATTGATATATGCTTATAATGCTTATAACGAACTTCGGTTATAACGAACTAAAATTAGTGGTAAAAATTTACAGGACTTAGTGTTAGTAATTTCGATTGGTCTCCCCCCCCCCCCCCCCCGAATATATCCAATACAGCCCCTGCATGTGACCAATACATTGATGAATTTTCCGAAGAAATACAACTGTAATTGAGAAAGAATATTATCATACGTCGGGGAAATATTATCAAACCTAATTACCTTGAAAGAAGGAAGTTAGGGGGAAAAGTCACATATTTATGATCACGAGAAAATATAATGTTCACTCCTATAACGTCATGTTGAAATTGATAAAAAATATACTCTGATTAGACTACTCTACACATAGAAAAGTACATATGAAAAATGCCATTACATAAATTCATCTCTTTCCTGAAAAGTCAAGTTGATCTTCCGTGTCTCTACTGAGATAGGTTTAATCAGCACAACTGGAAAACACGTGTGATCATCCGATAAGGAAATCATGTCATTGCTATTAACTTCCTTTGTACTCCGATGGTTACACATCCTCACATATCGATAACGGTTTCAAATGGGTGTTGTGACAGGAGAGAGAGCTGTGATTGTTTGTTTCATTCTGGCGCCCCTTCTCTCTGTGTCTCACTGAGCCTCGCACACATAGCCCGTGAACAGTGTGCTGCGTGACCGAGCCGGCGCACAGTTCCCAAATCGTAATAGAATTCAAAATGGCGACGAGAAGCAGACGATAGGGAAGAATCGTCAAAACACTGGCAGTACGGATTGTTCTAATTGCAGCTTTGATGTGATATTCATCTTCTGAAAAGGTTAGCTAGAATTCTTATTAGTTACTTTACACATGTTATACATAAAGCGACCCAAGCTGTATAATAATGCCAGACAAAATATTTTGTTCCCGTTTGACACCGAGAGCACTGTTAGGAAAGAAGTTCCAACCCTGGAGTACTGGGTGAAAGTCGAACACGTCGAATGCTCCTCAACACTCCAGGGTTACATTAGTGATTCTTTTAGCAGAGGAGTCATTAACAATTACATTTTCAGCGTACGAGTTCTGTCGCATACATTTAATCAATCACACATGACAGTTATGATTATCGTTTATAACGTTAATTGTCAAAATTCTTTAAACATCATACTGGCACATACTGTCAATTTATTAATTTATTCGTACTGGATCCGTGTCAAACATATACGCGACTTTCATCACCATTATAGAAATGCTTGTTCCGTGGTACACCAGACGCGGTATCCTGAGCCATGCCTGTCGCCGCTGCGCTTTTGTTTCATTATAACGCGCTTGTTACTCAGCCGCATCCTCTGCCCCTCTCCCTTCGAAAGTCATTTTCATTGCCATGTGAACGTGTTCTTGAATCAATAATATCCGACTTAAATAATCTCTCTTCTCTCCCCTCCCTTCATGTTCTTTCAATGATAACGTTAACAGCAGCAACCATGACCCCTGTGTCTAAATCGTCTAACAAAGGCCGAGCCCGGTTACATTAAAGGACACAGACAATTCATTCTGCAATTTTGAACCAAATGCAATCGAAATAAATCCATTTTGGCACTCGTTTCTTAAATCAGTGTAACGCATTATTGGTACCCCAATGTAATGAATGTTAGAATTTAGCATTGTGTCCCCATCACGCAAATTTCGTTTGGATTTTAGATAAAGCAGTGTTACCTTCATGTAGGTTTACATGATATATCTTCGAATTGCGATATGCTGGAACGAAATGTAAGATGTTTAAAAGGGATGTTCATTTTTCTTTGTCACGTCTGAGCAAGTCAACTAGTCATCATTCAAATGAATTATTCACTTAATCATTATGGAAATCTTAGTGTCACTTGATTACTGCACTGTACCATCTACATGTTATTGTCTGGCCCAGGCTCGACTGTTTACAGATTGCCGTCACATAGCTGGAATAAAGCTGAGTGTGGCGTTAAATAACAAACAAACAATCTACATGTACCCACCAAACGAGCTGAAACAATGGAAAGTGATGAAAAAAATATTTAGTTCAGACATTTTTACATCCTATTTGTTCGTTATTTATTGAAAAATTGGCAGGAAATTAAAGCATGCTTATGGAAGTTAAGTGAGGGAGCAAAATGAAAGTATGCCCAGAAAGAAGTGTTGTTAAATGTGTTTAGGTCTCATGTCTCCAACAGTTTGTAAAAAAGGTAATCGGTGGCCGGGGAGTCTTTGTGTAAATATGAATTGGTTCAGTTTAGATTGGGGGTGACCCGTCATGTTTGAGGTGTACGTTTGTACCGAAATATAAGCAAATGTATTGAGCTTGCAAAGATAAGTTTCTCTAGATACCCACCAGCAGTTGTGAATTATGAGTTGTTGTTTTTTCATTTTTAAAAGTTTAAAATCAAATTATGTTAAGAAAATAAAACCATGTTCTTTGAATGCTTACTATGCTGTACAGTCCATTTTTGTATGTTATTTCGCGAACTTAAGATATTCTCAATTGGAAATAAAATATATGATAAAAGCAACTGTTATGTATAGTTTCCTTTGCTCCTCAGTTTATAATGTATGTGGAACAAAAACAATAGGCTGTATGAAATTAGGTTTATGTTTGTTGTCCGAGGTTGAAGGCTTCGTTGAAGGTTGCGTGTCCAGTGTTGAAGGCCGAGTGTCCAGTGTTGAAGGCCACGTGTCCAGTGTTGAAGGTTATGTGTCCAGTGTTGAAGGTCACGTGTCCAGTGTTGAAGGTCACGTGTCCAGTGTTCAAGGTCACGTGTCCAGTGTTGAAGGCCACGTGTCCAGTGTTGAGGGTTACGTGTCCAGTGTTGAAGGGCACGCGTCCAGTGTTGAAGGTCCAGCGTTGAGGGTTACGTGTCCAGTGTTGAAGGTCACGTGTCCAGCGTTGAGGGTTACGTGTTCAGTGTTGAAGGTCACTTTTCCAGTGTTGAAGGTCACGTGTCCAGTGTTGAAGGTCACTTTTCCAATGTTGAAGGTCACGTGTCCAGTGTTGAGGGTTACGTGTCCAGTGTTGAAGGGCACGTGTCCAGTGTTGAAGGTTACGTGTCTAGTGTTGAAGGTGACTTGTCCAGTGTTGAACGTAACTCTGCATTTTCGATGCATTGATGCATTTATAATACATTGTGGAAATTTGTTTTCAACCCAAGGTTTGATTATGCTTTTGCAGATTTCTTTTCACAAACACCTAGTGTCATCACCGATTTTCAGTGATCCATTCTTATAATTTTCACCGTTATTTTGCCTTTTACGCCCAATGAAATTTGTTTCGTCCGATAACCAATAACTGGTTAGTCTTTGGCGTTGATGTTTTACATGTATGAGATCGGGAAGGGTTTTGTCTTTTTTATTTACCTTATAAAAAATAAATACCATCGTACCATGCAGTTGCATTTAAGATAAGAAATCAAAATATTTTTCAATAAATTGTTTACCTCCTATATAAATGATTACACTATACACTCTTCATAGTTACAATTGCTAATAGATCCAGGCTGAATAGCAGCGAGGGGAAGGAGTGTAGAGCGACTGTCTAGCGACCGGTGTGTTGACACAGATACCTTACATTGTTTCAGTACACCCTGTCTCGCCCGGTATATGGAGGAGAGGCTCAACATGGCCAAGGGTTCACGTCCATTATTTAACTACGTTTACAACAACAACTACTACTACCACATTTCCAACCTCAACCAGCAAGAGCACTAAATTAAATTAGAAAAAAATGTCATAAAATTGTTATTCACTTATTTTGGTAACTCTTAATACCAGTCTTTAAATATATATTTTACGTAGATCGAATCGATTAGCTTCGGAACGAATTTTTAATAAACATTGTTGCTCAAGGTGACCTGTTTTATGAATAGGCAATAGTGGTAGTGTTTTGTTTATCACATCGTGACATAGTTTACCATAGCCGTGGGGAAAATTGAGATACAAAAACCTTTTTATTATTTCACGCCGGATTGAAAATTCACGGCGGTCATGAGATGGGAAACTCTGAACAAAATGTGAACAGCCTTATGACTATTTCCTATGATGATTATTGCTTCAATACACATACTTCATGAATCAGAGACTGCTAATTACTTCCAATCACCCCTATATGTATTTCTAGATGAAGTTGAATACGGAGTTGGAGGAGTCAATATTAGGAAAATACAACAGGTATTCATTCTCGTATTCCTTTGATTTATTCATGAATTCATCCGTTTCAAGTTACTCGTGTCATTAAATGTCATTCAGCAAGTGAAGAACATGTTTATGTGTATGAGTAAACTTGAGAATAGAGGAATACACATGTTTTGGTGAGAAGAGATACTTTTCAAATGATGAAGTTTCTTTAATTCACAACAAGAGGCAAGTTCATATTTCGTGCTTTCTTTAATGATGCAAACATAGTGTTTGTCGTATTTTGCACTAACATTTGTATCATCATGTTTTTTGGTAAGGCATTCTCTGTGATTTGTTTGTGTAAATAAAGAATATAAGGACAGATAACGCATAGAAAAGAACAACATCCCTCATACGACATGTTCATGTATTTGGGCAGAATACAGATGGCGACTTGAGTTTGTTTTTTTGTTTAACGCCGCACTCAGCAATATTCCTGCTATATGACGGCGGTCTGTAAATAATCGAGTCTGGACAAGACAATCCAGTGAGCATCGATCCACGCAACTGGGACACGATGACATGCATCAACCAAGTCAGCGAGCCTGACCCCCCGATCCCGTTAGTCGCCTCTTACGACAAGCATTAGCAAGCATGGAGTAGTCCATTATTCTGTAGGTAGGCTCATTTTACCCCCATTAATTTTTAGTAGTCCTAATGGGAGTGAACACGGTGAAGATTCAGGGTTAGAATTGGTCTTCAGCAACCTATGCTTGTCGAAAGAGTCGACTAGCGGGATCGGGGGGTCAGGCTCCAATTAGGCATATCTTGGTTCATACATGTCATCATATTCCAATTGCCTCGATCGATGCTCATGGTTTCCATCACTGGATTATCAGGTCCAGACTTGGATTATTTTACAGGCCGCCGTGATAAAGCTGGAATATTGATGAGTGTTTTCAAAAATTAGGCGAAGTGGGTTGATACCGGTCAAATTAACATACAAACGTCATTGTTAGATGTTAAGTCAATAATTTCCTATGCTTCGTTGTTTATGGTATGTTTATTTACTGGCGGTTACTGACCATGTCATTTGAAACAGTCCCCTTTTCTCCCGGACATATTTGTTCCGGCTCGCAACAGTTTGACTGTTGCAGTTCTTCTCGCCTCTTGCCTTGATTGACAGGTCCTATGAACTTTGTTTGACCCTACTCTCCATTGATTGGCGGCTACTGATTTTGTGGGAGTGTGAAAAACATTTAATTCTGTACCGATGGCGTCATTTCGAGTACCGCCCCTCGAGGGTTCAGTTGGTATGGGCAACTTAGGTCAACATGAAGAGTATGACGTATATCCGTTTACATGCGCTAACATTGGTCTCCCAAGGGTCAACACGGCTCCATCTGACTCGTCCCGGGTTTTCAAGTGGAACGCAAGCACTATCAGTGGTCAGTCAGACAAGTAAACCTCTACTGTTAGATTTGCTGGTAAATATACTGCAGGTACTGAAAACTTTATAAATATTTTAATCCAAATAAATAATTAGTTAATATATAATTATATCAGAGACTCTGATATTTATATAAACTGTTAGAACAATAGTGGGTATATTTTATTGGATTTTTGTTGTTTTGTTTGGGGGAGGGGTGTTTCAATAGGTTTCGGTGGTACAGGCGTGGCATGGTACATTCAAGGTTA